GAATAGGAAAGTAGTAGCTCCTAACACTATCTAACATATATTTCGTTAAATAATCTGAAAAACTTGTAATTCCATCTGCCCGAAGACCCATGTGTTTACAAACTGTACTGAGAGTAAAAAGAAATGGAAAATATGCTATTAGGTATATATGTAAATATTAATTTAAATTCCAACTTTCGTTATGCAATTTAGGTTAATTTTGTTGTTCCTGTGAGAAAATTCTCAATATAATTCATAAAAAGCCTTTATTTTTATAGAATAGACACGAAAAATCTATGGACCATTAATTTATTGTCTCAGAATCGTGACAACATATAAATAGGTGAGAATTTCCAGAGTCATTGTTAACATAGTTTCATCTGTGGAATTTCACATGATCTACAGACTTTTAATATATTATCAAGCGTTTCTTTTTTTAGATTCAAAATGTTGTTTTAGGGATAATATGGTATTGGTTTTGTAAACTGGACTTTATTATTTCTTACAACAACGGTTCTATTGATATAATTTGTATAGCTGACTACTGAGAGTATGTCACTTTGGCCTTCGAACATATTGTTCAACTTGAAACATCAAGAGAATGGTCAAATGGTCAAGTTGGTGTGTTTTCGAATTGCAACGTCGCTTCGTCAATCACCTGCTTGAGGTCGTTTTTAAGATCAATATCTTCAGCTGCCTTCAGCTGTAGAGGGTGATGTGGTAAGATGGAATGTGGGTGATGGCTGGCGGGACGCTTGTGTCTGTACTTGACATTGTCTTGAGACCTCTGCATGAAGAGATATACGATCCAGAGCACGAAGAAGAGTACAGTGAGCGTGCAGCCCACCATGAGCACGACTTCTGCGGTTATCCAGTAACTCTCCTCGCGTCCCCCCGTGGGACACAGAGCTTCCACAACCTGCCGCCTCACGGCCATCTTGGATGCCGCGATTGTTTCTTGATTGTTTGCCATTTCGCCAAGTTGGCTAGCATCGTCAAATCGACGCTTTTTAAAGGCTTATATGGAATCTAGAACCTATTTAATAATGGGATCTATCCTGGAACGGACACGCGTCTTTTAACGAGGGCTTCGATTTGAAGGCGTGTGGATGCCTTGTAAAGATGATTAGCTTAGAATATCTGGTTAAATTCTCACCAGAACCTTTTTCTGACGTTTCAAGTCTATTTCAATCTGAATTTACTCTCCGGCAAATCTTTTAGAATATGATGTGAGATTCTAGAAGCGATTTACAAAACCTTTAAATCTTTTAAAACCTATTGTAAAAGGTTTTTAAATAAGATTTTATTGAGTTCAAGTGAATCAACCTCAAGACTGGTGAATGTCTTCAATCAGCCTCCTCTAAAACGAACGAAATTTAGCCATGGATTGATGGTAAAATATTCCCTTTGTCCAATTGATCCATTCATTGAAGATTCTCGTGTAAATAATTTGTTGATAAGCCTTTGCTTTCCGCATCCTTAAGAACTTGATCTAATAGTAGGTTCGTCTGTTTTACAAAAATCCGTTTTCAAAAACAAATGGAGGTCCATTTCCATAAATAAGATAAATATGTATAGCCAAAATAAATAATACTAAATATATATGTACCCAAGTATTCAAAGGTCAAATATTTTATTTTCAGGTAGTTCAAAGAATATATTGTTGAGCATTGTTTCGTATACTTTTAAGATATGCCAAGTCAATGGTACGTGTCTACTTCACAATAATAGCAGTTTCACATCATGGACTGAATTTATATTTACATCCTCAGCAGGTGTTCTAGCTAACCAAACGTTATCGAGTGCAACTAGTGAAAGGATAGACGGTTCTCGACTTCTTAAGCCTGTTCCCATCAAGAGTATGAAGCAATTAAGGAGGAAGAACGGCCCAGTACTAAGCGTATTCTCCATAAAAATGATATCTCAGTTTCTATCCAGTTATCGAACACACATTCACATTTCCCAAGAGGAGAGGAATAGAATCGTGGAACAATCTACCTTTATACAAAACAGGAATGCCTGAAAATCTATAAAGATATACTGACCTGTGTATGCTTATTGAATCATTACACTTCGCAAAGGTCTCTGAAATGCAAGAATTCAATAAAAAAATCGAGTATAGAGTTTATAATTTCATATCTTTACATACTTTAAAATTATCAATTTTAAAACAACGTTCAATAATTAATTTTCATCAGTTAAAATCAGAAAATGTATCCTTTATTAAAAGGTTCCATCAAAAAGAATAATAATTGTCAAAAACCTTTGGAGTTGTAAGTTCCGAAAGTTTCCTCTATTATAATGATATAAAATTAACACCCACAATTCGGTTTAATTTACTTGTATTATTCGGAAGTCTCATATTGATGAGCATGCGCTATAATGTTAGGAGATCTCGGGATGGCCAACCCTTGATAACCATGCGCCCTTTGAGGCTATGTAATTTATCAGAACGGAGGCCTCTACAATTTACGTGTGGAATAATGAGATTCATATTAATGGGATTTAGTAAACAGGGGTAGTGGTATTTCTGTTATATTAGATAAAAATACGATAAATTATTATTAAAAACTCCTTTTCTGGTCATGTAATTGAACGTTGTTGGTGGGTTTCGCCATCTATATGAAAAAAATCATCTAAAAGTATATTTAGAACTATCAAATATGGGCCAATTCTATTAATACAAATATATTTGATAGAACAAACAACATAGGCTCTTCAAGCTTTCTACCCTTGGTGCAAGCTATACCTCATTCCCCCTCAAAAGTGATCGCATTAAGATTTCTTAATGTCCATCAAGAGTTTGTTTAAATTTAAAATTCACTTGGGAATGGGCTCTTAAAGATAATACCAAAATAAGGAAGGAAATAGACGAGGTGGTAAAATGAGACTAGATCCTTCTGATCATTTAAGTGAGCGGTGATGTTGAAAGCTTGTAATAACAATCATGTTATTCGAAATTTGTACTTGGTTAGCTTCACGTGATTCATCAAACACTTTATTCGAGAAAATTCACAAACCTATTTGCATACGTATCTATTCAATAACCCTTTTGTTCAATACTCCCACACTTCTAGGTTGAATAAAATGTGGGTGATATATAAGAAATCTTGGAAAGCGCTTCCTAATAAAATTCACGAAACGATGACTTAAAATTTTTACCAGACGATTATTAAATATTCTTTTAATTATTTTTGATCCTTCAGTCTCATAATCTCATAGTGAATTATAATTAATTATTAAACTTAGTATGGAGGAAGAATTCGTAACCTTTTAGCTTTGCATATTATTTTATATTAACAGCCAAATATACAACACAAAATATTATTTATGTATGTTAAAACAAGAACAAACGATAATTACATACGAGAGATCCTTTTCAAACACGAGCTCATAGCCACACTATAGCCGTTGCTACTCTGTGTAATATTCAAACATGATCATATTCTGAAAATAGAGCAATCTATAAATAAATTTTTAATTAAAAAGGCATATAATGTATAAAAATATCATTTATTTTACCAATATTTATGTTGGCTGAACACCAACCTTTATCAAGGTATTATAACATATTAATATATGTCAACAACAAACTCAGCGCCACATAACATCAATAGAATTAAATTAAAAAATATCTCTTGCCTATATTCAATTAACTAAACTCATTGAATATAAACAAAAATATATTTTTAAACTTAATTCTTTAAAATACAATATAACGCGGCTGATGATTGTAAAACGAAAATTAAAATTATACCGCGAATGTTTCTTTTTTAAAAATCGAAATTTATTTTCAAAGAGAAATAGCGACATTTCTAACTTTGAGGATGAGGTATGGAAAGGTGAAACATGAAGAGTAATGGAGAACGGAAAAATAAAAAGTGTCCAGGGGCGGGAATCGAACCCACATCCTTCTGCTTACCGGGCAGGTGCCTTGTCCACTCGGCTACCCTGGACGTATTTTTCCGTTCATAACTTATATTTAAAGTAACATTTAAAATACAATATAACGCGGCTGATGATTGTAAAACGAAAATTAAAATTATACCGCGAATGTTTCTTTTTTAAAATCGAAATTTATTTTCAAAGAGAAATAGCGACATTTCTAACTTTGAGGATGAGGTATGGAAAGGTGAAACATGAAGAGTAATGGAGAACGGAAAAATAAAAAGTGTCCAGGGGCGGGAATCGAACCCACATCCTTCTGCTTACCGGGCAGGTGCCTTGTCCACTCGGCTACCCTGGACGTATTTTTCCGTTCATAACTTATATTTAAAGTAACATTTGAAATACAATATAACGCGGCTGATGATTGTAAAACGAAAATTAAAATTATACCGCGAATGTTTCTTTTTTAAAAATCGAAATTTATTTTCAAAGAGAAATAGCGACATTTCTAATTTTGAGGATGAGGTATGGAAAGGTGAAACATGAAGAGTAATGGAGAACGGAAAATAAAAAGTGTCCAGGGGCGGGAATCGAACCCACACACTTCTGCTTACCGGGCAGGTGCCTTGTCCACTCGGCTACCCTGGACGTATTTTTCCGTTCATAACTTATATTTAAAGTAACATTTAAAATACAATATAACGCGGCTGATGATTGTAAAACGAAAATTAAAATTATACCGCGAATGTTTCTTTTTTAAAAATCGAAATTTATTTTCAAAGAGAAATAGCGTCATTTCTAACTTTGAGGATGAGGTATGGAAAGGTGAAACATGAAGAGTAATGGAGAACGGAAAAATAAAAAGTGTCCAGGGGCGGGAATCGAACCCACACCCTTCTGCTTACCGGGCAGGTGCCTTGTCCACTCGGCTACCCTGGACGTATTTTTCCGTTCATAACTTATATTTAAAGTAACATTTAAAATACAATATAACGCGGCTGATGATTGTAAAACGAAAATTAAAATTATACCGCGAATGTTTCTTTTTTAAAAATTGAAATTTATTTTCAAAGAGAAATAGCGACATTTCTAACTTTGAGGATGAGGTATGGAAAGGTGAAACATGAAGAGTAATGGAGAACGCCGAGTGGACAAGGCACCTGCCCGGTAAGCAGAAGGGTGTGGGTTCGATTCCCGCCCCGGGACACTTTTTATTTTTCCGTTCTCCATTACTCTTCATGTTTCACCTTTCCATACCTCATCCTCAAAGTTAGAAATGTCGCTATTTCTCTTTGAAAATAAATTTCGATTTTTAAAAAAGAATCATTCGCGGTATAATTTTAATTTTCGTTTTACAATCATCAGCCGCGTTATATTGTATTTTAAATGTTACTTTAAATATAAGTTATGAACGGAAAAATACGTCCAGGGTAGCCGAGTGGACAAGGCACCTGCCCGATAAGCAGAAGGGTGTGGGTTCGATTCCCGCCCCTGGACACTTTTTATTTTTCCGTTCTCCATTACTCTTCATGTTTCACCTTTCCATACCTCATCCTCAAAGTTAGAAATGTCGCTATTTCTCTTTGAAAATAAATTTCGATTTTTAAAAAAGAAACATTCGCGGTATAATTTTAATTTTCGTTTTACAAACCTAATTCTATTGGCGTTATGTGGCGCTGAGTTTGTTGTTGACACACATTAATATGTTATAATACCTTGATAAAGGTTGGCGTTCAGCCAACTAAAATAGTGGTAAAATAAATGATACTTTGATCCAATATATGACTTTTTAATTTAAAAAATTATATATATGTTATGAATATAATGTTTTGTTATTGGAATGATAAAGAATTGGAGGTGCAGTCGAGAAAAACGAAAGATAGTTATTTACCCTCAAGTAGTTTTTATTTTCAATTACTTGAAAAGAATTACACACTAAATATTTTTTAGAGTAATATAGAATTTATAAAATTAATCCTATATTCGTAAATAAAAAAAATAGGTAGGTTAACTATACATATTTACAACAATATGTTCAAAGTGTTATGTTCTAAATCTATGGTCAAAAATAAAAGAATAGTCAATGATGAAAGTAAAATACATATTTTCAAAAAATAAAATATTTGAATTTTAGATTATATAATATATATGAAAATGAAATAAAATATATAATAAAATACCTTATTAAGGTTTTTATTTCCCAGTAAACCGTCACTCAATTAATTGCCAATTTTGTTTCTTCTATCCGGAGCCTAATTTTTCTTTTCGCCAACTTTTTTCCATTCGTTTTTATCCGTGTTTTTGTCGCCTCTTTTTTCTCCCTCATCTAACCGCCATGCTACAACGGATCTATTGGGAGGATGTTTGGCCCGGTGTGTCTGGCAGCTACAAGCATTATTGTATCGTAACAATTAAACGGTATTGTAGCTTTAATATTGTTCACGTTCCTGGAGTTATTAAATCTTTATTTTTATATATAGAAACTTCCCACAACACAATCAAATAGAGATTAGAAATACCCTTTGATGCAATTAGAAAAGAACAAGCTGAATTTAGGTATTTGCTTTATACAATAGTTTTAAATCTCCATTGTATATTGTATAATATATTCGATAAATTAATCCCTTTAATCAATATTAAAACAAGAACATTAAGCCTCCAGGGAAATTTTTCTTTTAAAAATATTTTTTATTTAAAATTCTCTGAAGCTTTCGGACAAGAAAGCTCTTCTACGGGAGAGAATATTTTACATTATTAAAACGCCAATAGAATAAGGGCTTTCTTGCCCGAAAGCTTGATATTTTCAAATAATAAATACTTATTTTATTGGAGTTTTAATGATGTGAAATATTTTCTCCCGTAGAAGGGCTTTCTTGCCCGAAAGCTTGAGATTTTCAAATAATAAATACAGTGGTACCTCGACATACGAGTTTAATTCGTTCCGCAACCTTGCTCGTATCTTGAATTACTCGTATCTCGAAGCAAATTTCCCCATACAAAACAATTGAACTACCATTAATCCGTTCCAACCTCCAAAATTTCACCCCAGTTATTTTTGTTACGTGGTTTTAAATAATAAAAACGTATTTATAAATATCAAATATTTATTGCACAAAAACAAAAAAGAGAATGTAAAGAAATAAATTAGATATCCTCACTGGTCTTTGCCTTTTTCGCTACATTTTTCTCGCTTTCACCTGTAGGCTGTTTATAAAAAAACATGTCCAAGGAGGTTTGTTTCTTCCTCCCTCTCAGAATGTTCCGGAAATGAGTTAGGCAAGTGTCATTAAAAAGGTCAGATGCACGACCTGTTGCAACTTTTTCTGGGTGTTTTTTTTTCCACGAACTGTGAAACTCTCTCCCACATTCCTAAGATCTCCTTTATCTCACTTGTAGAAATAACCTCCTCCTCTGACTCCTCAAAACCAATTACTTGCATAACCTCAGTATGCTGCTCTGACTGTAACTCTTGTATCTCCTCAGTCGTCAGTTCCTGGGTGTGCTTCTCGATGAGCTCGTTCACGTCTCTCTCTTCCACCTCTAAACCCATGGATTTCCCCAGAGATACAATCTCCTCCTCTACTGAAACACCGGGTTCCAATTATTCATAGATCCTTTCAGCTACAGCTTCAGGCCACAGCTTTTTCCATTTCCAATACCGCTCCTCTTTTTAAAATTCTCAAACCAGCCCCGGCTGGCTTTAATGATGACTCTTCCGATGCCTCGTCGATGGAAGTCTGCGGGGTTTGCTTCAGCAAATTTCCGTAGATCGCTCTTGCCTTCTCACAAATGATGTTCTGCGTCAAGGTATGTCCTTGTAGCTGCTTTTCTGTCACCCACACCATCAGCAGTTTCTCCATATTTTCATGAAAGGAGGTTCGCAGCTTGGAAATTATCGTAAGGCCCTTAGCCGGCGTTACACTCTTTATCGACTCCTTCCGTTTAAGCACAGAACATATCATGGACGTACTACGGCCATACTGCCTCGACAAGTCAACAACTCGAACACATTGCTCATGTTTTCTATAATTTCACGTTTGAATTCAATACTCATCATCTTTTTCTAAGCACTTGACTTTTACAAACTTTCTTCCGATCCATGGTTATAAAAATAAATGAACTAAAACTGAAAATGTAAACGCAACACAAAACGCGAACACAAAACACAACTTATCACAGCGGAAGCACGCTGCTAACTGATCGCGATAGCGCGACTGCGTGTTACTTCCTGTTGTGTTTTAACTTTAAAAGCACACAAAAATATAATAAACTTGAATTTGTTTATTCAAGTCTCAAAAAACAAAGCTTTGCATATACAACAAATAATAATGAAGAAGAAGAAAGAAACATTTTAGGAAAAGCAAAAACAAAACAAAAGTACTGGTCAAAAAGAAACATTTAAAATCACAGATTAATATCTTCAACACTACCGAACCGAACTCGTATCTCGAATTTCGCTCGTAACTAAAAGCAAAAAATCACTTGCTCGTCGGCTCGTATCTCGAAAAACTCGTATGTTGGGGCGCTCGTATGTCGAGGTACCACTGTACTTGTTTTATTGGCGTTTTAATGATGTGAAATATTTTATCCCGTAGAAGGGCTTTCTTGCCCGAAAGTTTGAGATTTTCAAATAATAAATACTTATTTTATTGGCGTTTTAATGATGTGAAATATTTTATCCCGTAGAAGGGCTTTCTTGCCCGAAAGCTTGAGATTTTCAAATAATAAATACTTATTTTATTGGCGTTTTAATGATGTGAAATATTTTATCCCGTAGAAGGGATTTCTTGCCCGAAAGCTTGAGATTTTCAAATAATAAATACTTATTTTTTTGGCGTTTTAATGATGTGAAATATTTTATCCCGTAGAAGGGCTTTCTTGCCCGAAAGCTTGAGATTTTCAAATAATAAATACTTATTTTATTGGCGTTTTAATGATGTGAAATATTTTCTCCCGTAGAAGGGCTTTCTTGCCTGAAAGCTTGAGAGATTTTTAAATGAAAAATATTTTTAAAATAAAAATTTCCTGGACACATAATGTTCTTATTTTAATATTTGTTTTATGTAATTTATTGCAAAATATTATTATTATATATATTATTTTAATATATAAATTGGATTTAATAGTGTAATTTAAACACTGCGCGCGCGCGGGATATTATAAAAAAATTATTACAGTGATTTTCCTAATTTTATTATTGAATAGACGTATGACCCGGCTTCGCCCGAGAATTCTCCCGATTGCAATTTCCTTCATACTGAAAGTACATCAATAATAAATATTAGAAGTGCCATAGAATAGCAATACAGAAGTAACACATAAACTACAGGAAAAAAGTGTGTGTGATGGCAAAATTTGTATTATATTAGTGTTTAGGTATTTGGTTTAATTAATATAGTTGATATAATAATATATATTTATATTATATATAATATAAATGAGTTTTAAAAATTGTAAAAAAAAAAATGCATCGGCTGGGAATCGAACCCGGGCCGCCCGCGTGGCAGGCGAACATTCTACCACTGAACCACCGATGCTTATAAAAAATGGCCATATTTGGGTATTCATTCCATTCCGAATTACTCCGCGTAAAAAAAAAATCTTCAAATGAAAAAAAGAAATAGCCAAAAATACTAATCAAAATGTAGCCGAAAATTTTCCTCAGGTTTATAAAAAGCGACATGCAAAATTTGGTACCAATTGGTTCAGTAGTTTTTGAGTTTATCGCGAAACAGACATACATTGACTTTTATATATATAGAGATAGGTTGGTATTATTAAAAATTGAAAATCCTTGTTATATACCTTTAGTGAAATAAATATAATTGAATTAAAACTATTTAAAACGAAGAGGTTTTGCTACGAATGAAATAGCTTCCTACTGTTTTTACTGCGATGGAATCCTATTTAGAGGGTTTTGTACATTAGTGGCGGAACCTTCCAGCGATGTTTCGAGTTCAATATATCCCACAATATATTAATCCAATACCCCATACATGTCCATAATTCAGAATCTGCGAATACTGAAGTACAATTCTCTAAACTAAATGGAAATATATGGTCTTGGATGAGAACTCTTATAATATCTACTTGTAGAATTTTCATTTAGTAATTACTTGTTTCCTTTCTCCGTCCTTAGAAATGATTAAAAAATCACAATATCGTAGCAAAGAAATATATATATAAATGTAAATATGTAAAAGTTGTTGATTATGC